TTTAACATTTAGACATAGAAGTGAGATCTGAGTGTTAACTCAGCTTTTTTTATTGTGAATCTCAAAATGGATGGAATATGGATGTATGTATGTATGTATGTCAAATCGAACTTTCTGATACTACCTTTTTATCTATTTCCACGGTGCACGTATGTAGGAAATTTTACTTTCGACTATGTAAGCAGACATTTGTTTGCGCATAAAAATATTGATGACTTGAAAAATATAATAAAAATTAAAAAACTAAAAATTAAAAGTTTACTTCTCCAAGCGCTCTTGCTTGGCACTGTGAATATTCTTCGAAATTATAGAGAAAAAGCTGACACACATTTTTCTGATATATTTTCAAAAGTTACCGATATCGCCAAGGAATTGGATTTTGACATTGTCCTTCCTCGGAGAGCGAATAAACAAAATTTTCGGGCAAATTATCGTGCGTCTAACGCTGAAGATTATTATCGAAAGGTAATATTTATACCCCTGTTGGATAATATTTTGCTCGATCTCCGAGAAAGATTGCCGAGGGAGACATTATTTAAACATTTTTGATTTGAACTTATTACTACCAACTAAAATTGGGGAGTATAATACGCCTGACGAAAAAGTAATGCTATCGAACGCGCAAAATCGCTTGGAAAACGATACGAACTTTTCTTAGAAAGAGACGGTATCAATTTGGAAGGAGAGTATAAAGTGTGGTTGCAATTATGGACAAATAATTAAAGCGAAAAGCGATTCCCAAAATCAGCAGCAGAAGTTCTTGGTCAATGCGACGAATATGCTTTTCCATTGATTAACAAACTTTTCCGCATTCTGGTCACACTTCCAGCTAGTAACGCTACTTCCGAAAGAAGTTTTTAAACACTTCGCCGGTTAAAATCATGGTTGCGTAGTACCATGAATGAAGTAAGACTGATAGGTCTAGCACTTTTACACGTGCACTTAGATATTGAAGTTGACACTGAAAGGATAATAGAAAGATTTGCAAAAGAAAAGCGCAAAATTAAATTTGCAATTTAAATTATTATTACAATAAAAATTCGGAATACGTTGTTAAGTTACTTAATTACAGCCTTCATTTTACCAACATTGTAAGCAAGAAAAAAGTATTTATATATATTTATATATACAAACCCAATATATAACTTTACATCTTGTGTTTTTTTTTTTAAATAGTACATGCAATTGTTTTATTATAACTTGCACCAAATTCACAAAATGAAAAGTAATATTATATCACAAAACACTTTACCTCGCACTTCATTAAAAATGCTCGAAGCTGTATTTGCATGAAAAATAAATTAGGATTAGATGCCTGTAATTTAACGTTATTTGACAAGTTGATCCCAATAAATCCTGTATCCGCCACTAGTTCACACATTATGTAAACTTCAAAAAATGATCATCACAATTAAAATCATTTGATTCAGAATTTTTAGAAAATTTTCCAGTGTTCAGTTTTGTAGCCCATGCAATTTTAGTACAACAATGTTCAAGTTTCAAGTCGCTAAAAATTACCGTTCATTTAATTTTTTTTTGTGCAGTGTGTTGCGCATTTTCTTCCATATAACGCATTATCAAAATCGCACAACACCCTCCACACAGAAAATTTGTTTACAAAATAAAGTTCTCATTTTTAGTTAGTTCTAGGTTGCAAGACTTTAATCCTGGTCGAACAGTTCACATCCCTGCTGTGTTGTAACCTCAGCAAGGAGTGATCATGTATTTTATTTATCTGCTGAAATATTTTAGCAATCTTTTGGTTTTGAAAAAATATAAAACTTCAAAGTCTATTGAAGGAACATTACTTTTGTAAAGAATAACCCAAATGGTTAATTTTTTTCGTTTCAGTAAATATTTTTGCACGGTTGAAAATTTCGGTTTTAATTTTACACTTTTTGGACTACATACATGTATGACCAAACTAAATTCAGTTTCAAATACAAACCTTCCGAGTTAAAAAAAAGATGGCACATATGTTGGGTTTAGAATTAAAAGAGTTCGGTTTAAATTTTAAACCCAAACATTTTCATAATTAAAAATAAAAAAAATCTTAAATTTCATGCTCCGTCTGATGGGGTTTGAACCCGCACAGCCTTGGTGGCAACCAATTGTATGAAACATCTTTGCACACTCAGCTACAGCCAAGCATATAAATGTGCTTTCATATATATGTTCAGTTTGAATCAACACCACATTTCGCTGTGTGCAAACATTTTCTATTTCGGTTTAGATTTTAAACCAAATTTTCTATATATATGAAACCTAGAAACTAGAATTTAAACACTTTGGTTTGATTTTTAAACCACGAACTTTTTGACTAAAATTTAAACCAGAATATATTAAAAATTGCTTGAAACTATTGACTGGTTTAAAAACTTTTGCACCCGTTCTGATCCGGGTCGGAAAAATTAGGCTCGCGTCAAAATGTAAAAAATCATCTGAATATAATAGCATAGAATGTTTTCCCAACACTGTTCCAGCTGAACAGTTCAATCATCGTTCTGCCAAATTTTACGCCAGCTGAAATACGTTTTACAGAGTTCCCTTCTCCAAAAATAAAAAAATATTAAAAGAAAAGTCGTGTGCATTTCCAAAATGCTAGAATTCGGTACACCTGTGCAAAGGTTCAAAAATAAAGTTTTTGGCTTTTCCGAGGACAGAGTACGTAATACGATCTAATGCAGTTTGATGACAAATTGCTGACGCAAAATATTTTTAAACCTCAAAACGATGTACCGTTATCCGTGGAAGAGTGAGAGGGTCGAGTTAAAATGATGCCCTGCAACTTGTAATAGTACCAATTTTTGGATTCTCGGAATTTTCTGATAAAGATATGGCGCTGCTAAAAAATATAATATATGTATGTGTGACAAGAATTATCCACATAAGATGAAAACTTCTGAAGTTTAATTTTATAAAAATTTCGTTCAGTTATTTGTACAATGGTTTTGGCTTATGGCGTCCAAACGCATTACCCGAATCAAAAAAATTTAACATTTGCCTCTAGTCAAAGGATTAAGCTTTAATTTAAAATAAAGATTTTGATTTCAAATATGCACTTTTTTGTAAATTTTTAGGTGGATGTTGGGCAAAAATACTGTGGATGGCGTAACCGGAGTTGAACTAATGAGGTTATTTTTTGTAGCGCGGCCGAAGGCCACCAACGTGGAAAGGAGTTTTGCGCAAAAATACTGCTGATGGCCTAACACGAGTTTAATTCTTCTTTACGAAAATTGTAATTTTACCCCATTTTGAAACGGACCCCGAGTGCCTTTAGAAGGGGCAGGGAGGCGAAGGGACTTTATTTAAAGTTTATACTGTGATCATTTTAAAGAGCACCTTTACCCTCCGCTCCACACCTCGCACAACATTAAATCCTCTAATGTATTGTTTGATTGCTAACGATGTGGCAAGGTAACTCATAATTTTTTACAATTTATGAAACTTTGTCAAAATTTTTGAAATGAAAATACCTTCCTTTTGTAGCTTGATTTAAACTACAAAATCCAATATGGCGTCTAAAGTTTCCAAAAATTCAAACCTGAAAATAACTCTGTTAAAAAATGAGAAAAATGAAGTTTTGGAAATGACGACGTTCCTATTAAATAAAAAAAAATCGTACGAAAGCTGTTGGGGCCTAGATCAAATTGTTTGAGCTGAACATATAGCAGACGGAACCAACTATCCCTAATTTATTAATATAATTACTGTTATTATTTCATAATTTGATCATAAATTCATTTCAGTTATGTTCCCTCGTATATAACAAATAAAATTTTGCTAAACAAATACTGAAACAAACTGAAAATGACAGTTGTTTTGACAGTTGTCAACCGAAAAAGTTTGAATGTGATACATAACTCGAGATCAGTGAGCCTAAAAAAGTGCAAACAGTCAACGACGTAGGTTGACGCAGACACGATCTACCTTATGGGATTCGCGTCTTATCCAAAACTCACCACCGCATGGCGGTGACGTTTCCGTTGCTTCTCTCTCTCTCTTTACGCTACGTCGTTGACTGTTTGCACTTTTAAAACATAGTAGTGGTGGGAAATTTTCCATATCTCTAGAGAAATTGCTAGCCCCTTCGACAGTCGGAAACTCATAAGGTTTTAATTGGGTACGCAATTCGTGATTAGCATATCTAAAAACCTAATCAGTGGTATTTTCAAAAAGTTTTTCTTAATTTTAGAGAAACTGGCAGTTGATCTGACAGCTCTCCACCGTCAAACTATAAATGTTATGACATATTCGGATTTAGCATTACAACAATACCACGATCCTCCAGTTTTATTATAATCGTAACAGCCCTTCTAAATTTTCGCGTAAAACATGGCTTCTCCAACCACTGTGGAGTTCGGGAAGTCGGGGGTTTATATGGTGTTAAATAATCGTATTCCGGGCTAGCTAAAAGTATAAAAAAAGTTTAATCTACACAGCAATCAGATAAATTCTTTAAGCAATCACCGCCGCTTTCAAGTAACCAGTTCCATATTTCTTGAAAGTCGTAGTCTACGCGCGGGCTTAACTATTTAAATCGACGAATAGTTTTATATCAACTTTTGTGCACTTCTGTTTATGTGTTTTTGTACAACACATTTACCTCTATTGGTTACAATAATTTTAAGCTATAATAAAATTTTTTTTTAGTAAGTTATTGGTTTTTAAATTTTTTTTTTTGTATAGGCCCCCCTAAATTTCGTTCTGGCGACGCCCATTGTCGTACATATTTCTAGGCTCCGTATTTTGCATAAAAATCCGCAAACATAACTAACTAGAAATACACAGCAATAGAAGTAAGGCATAAGATTGCATATTTCATAGATATTTATGTATGAATCTCATTCGATCGAGTGTGGATCCTGCAAACTACTACTTTTAATAAAGGCAGCATTTTTTCTTACTCTTAAATAACGCATACATAGTATAATGTAGTTACAAAAATTATATTACTCTCTAAAATCAGTATTTTTCGTACCACAATAAAATTCACTTACCTGCATGGATCGTCGACTTGAGCCGCTATTCGAACGCGAGAGCATCGGAGGTCGACGTTTAGTGGCACCACGACCGGCCAATAAGTTATTCAGCAACGATGGTGAACGAGCACAAATGAATGCATGAAATGAGGATACAGTGAAGACGCCCAATTTGTTCAATGTGTTCTTAGTTGGCCGTGAAACGTGTGTGAGCAAAGACTGCAATGACAAGTAGATAATTAGTCATTTAATAGTTCTATTTTCAAATATGTAAATTTGACAATAGAAAATTAAATATGTATAGTTAAATAACGTAGATAAAATTTTCTTTGCTGTAGAATGACGAAATTCAATTATTGAAAAATGCGCACCAAGCACTGTTAGTTTTTCAGTAATGTATCGCGGGGCATAAAATTTAAAAGCACATTTCCTGTCTTGAAATTGACGTTCTTCCTGTTTTTTTTTTTGAAATGTATGGATAAAATAATTTAATTCTGCTATTTTTATGTCCATATTACATATAAATGTTTTGCTAAATTTTGAAGTTCTTTTAATGGCTCCTAGCAAACCTGGTGGAACACCAAAAACGTAGAATTACGAACGTGTTGGAGTGAAATAAATCTGCCCGAACATCAAGTGTACTATGCCATTCACAAAAAAAGTCCGCCGACTGGCGACGTCTTTCACAGCTTACATTTAAAGGAGCGCAAATTCGGTGTTGGATTTGTGATGGGAGAGACTCCGTCGCCGACTACTCTCCTTCACCCCGGTGGACGAGCGCGTAGCCACAATCCGCATTCAAGCGAGTTTCTTCAACATCTCGCCAATATGCGACCTTGCCCCGACGAAAGGGAAGGACGAGGGGTCCAAGGATCTTTTCTATGAGCGCTGCCCCGCTATGATACCAAAATCGAGCTTGGCGGCTTCAATGCCAGGGTGAGAAAAGAACGAGAAAGGATCTTTGGAATCGCCGTCGGAAAATTCAGCCTCCAGGATGAGTCGTCCGACTACGGAATGAGACTGGTCGACCTCGCGGGGGCCCGAAACATGGTAGCATGCAGTACTATGTACAAGCATAAAATGATCCATCAAGGTACGTTGTTATCTCCAGAAAACGAGAAACCAAAACGATCACGTTGTAATAAAAGGAAGGCACGCTTTTGGTGTTTTAGACGTACGCACACTCCGAGGCCCAAACATCNTCTGTGCAGCAAAAAATGTGCGCCCAAATATGCAAGGAAAGCTTAACGTCGAAAAGCTGCAATCACAACAGACAGCCAGCGCTTTCGCTACTCGACTCTCACACCTGCTCTCAGAGAGCACTCTTCAACAAACCGACATATGCGAGCAGTGGAACCACATTTCCGGCTCATTAGGTACCGCCGCCGAAGAAGTAGTCGGATTTCAGCGAGCCCGAAAGAAAAGCTGAATAGAAAAAAGATACCGCCTATAGGGCGATCGAGCGCAACGCGAGCCATGCGGGACCGTTATAAGTACGGAGACCATCCGTTCTGTTTTTTGCAGGACCGTACTGTTATTTAAAGGTCTGTCCTGCGTAGTTTTTCAAAACAGAAAACCCCAAAATGTACTGATTTTTTCCAAGTGTCCTGCCTTTGTCCCGCATTTTCTTCGATATTTTATAATTAACTTTTCCTTATCGAAATAAAAGCAGTGTCGATAACTAATTGATAACTACATAAGGGTAAGCTGGTTTTGAAGGTTCAACTAGTCAATGCGTTCTAAATATTGTACGGTTATGGACAATGGATGACGAGAAATTGAAGACCAGCATCAAATATATCGATAACACTGTTATACAAATTTTGTGGTAATCGCTTAAGAAAAAAAATATTTTCCAAGCCAATTTTCCTTTCAAACAAGCGCTTTCGTAATTTTTTTGAAAAACGTGTTATTGGTACATTTCGAACCTATTCGTCAATATCTCATGAAAAAATTATTCAATCAACATAAGTGACCTACAGTCCTCTTACAAAAATATATTACTTTGCCGATTTCGATGAAAATTGTTAGTGTTACAAGCGACCAAAATCGAAAAATTGAAATTTCAATCATTTTCTTTTTACAGTAAATGAAAATCTGATGAGAAATGTAGATGTTACGGAACATAATCTGCACGAAAAATATATATTTTTGCAAATAGCCCATCAATACCTTTCGAACTGTTGGTCGTTTCATGAGATATTGACGAATAGGTTCGAAATGTACCAATAACACGTTTTTCAAAAAAATTACGAAAGCGCTTGTTTGAAAGGAAAATTGGCTTGGAAAATATTTTTTTTCTTAAGCGATTACCACAAAATAACTGAAAAAGTACTAAAAATAGGGTTTTCGAACAAATCTCGAAAACACTTCTTTGAAACCATGGGTACTTTTTTCGTTTTCAACGACCCAAAGTTTGCCTAAAAAATTTACTTTACAGAGGTTCATATTTCGTGTAAAGTAATATGTAATATGCCTTATTATAATTTTGTAAATATTCTCTTCGTTATTTGAATAGCGCATCCTTTTAATACTTAGTAGGTACAGTTTTCCTTTTGTTTGTTTAATGTTCATTAACTTTTCATAAAAATATAGCATATTCTACATCTACATCCCATTTAAAAATTTTTGAAAATTAAAAAAAATAAACATAGGGGCGACATTTTTTTTGTTGACGGTGTTGCGCATTTTCTTCCATATAAACATTTTTTCAAGCATACTTTGTATGGTAGAAAATCAAAAAAGGGTGCGCTATTCAAATGACGAGGAATGTATATATGTAGTATATTTTTGTTATTTTTATACTGCGCAATTATATGTAGGTAAATTTTTTGAAAAATTGTCCTGCATTTTCAAAATATATTTATGGTCACCGTAGTTATAAGGAACTGAAGAAGGAAGCGAGATATATTTGCCGCAATAAGAGGAGAGAGGCCGAAATACGTGAGCCCTAAGAGCTTGAGATGCTAGCCGGCAGGAAAAACGCCCGAAAATTTTACCAGAGAGCTATGCGATTTACGGAAGGTTTTAAGACCATGGCGAACTCTTGTAAGGACAACAACGACGACCTAGTAGCTGATGTCCATAACGTACTTAAATTACGGATGGAACTTTTTTCCACTCTACTGAATGGTAACAGCACTGAAAGCGGTGGAGAAGACGAATCCGAGCCCCAGTCGATGATAACGGAGTCGATGTTCCAGCACCTGACTATGAAAAGGTACAAATAACAACAACGCGCTTGGAAAACAACAAAGCTGTTGGAGTTGACAGCCTGCCAGCTGAGCTATTCAAGTACGGCCACGAGGAGTTGATAAGGTGCATGCATCAACTCTTATGCAGAATATGGTCCGATAAACGCATGATCGACGACTGGAATTTAAGTGTGCTCTGCCCAACCCACAAGAAGATTTACGGGTGTACCGCAGACGATGGAACGATGAGCTGTATGAGCTTTACAACGACATGGACATAGCGAATTAAAATACAGCGGCTCCGCTGGCTTGGCCGTGTCGTTCGAATCGAATGGACGCCGGCGTTTCAACTCTGAAAGTATTCAACTCGGAACCCGCTGGTGGTAGCAGAGATGGAAAGACCAGGTGGAGAAGAACTTGGCTTCCAATTGGCGTCAGTTAGTACAGAAGAAAAACGTGGCGTGCTTTGCTGAACTCGGCCAAAATCGCTTAGACGAGTTATCGTGTGCACCGACGGACGGACGGACAGACAGTCTCATCATTTATGTATGCATTTGTCTATATCTATCTCGATTAGTTTTGTCTGTTACAAACAACCGTTATGTGAACAACATGTACATATATAAAAATAATATTGGTGATAACTGCCTATTACTTAAGTACATTCGTTCTATTAATTATTCACTTGTCAATCACTTAGAATCTTGTGAGATATTGTAATAAATTGTTATCGAGCACTTTTATAGTGGTAGACAAGGGACAAAATTGAAGCCTTACAAAAGTGTATGTACGTGTATGAAACTGAATATAAAGCATTTGCTTTTAAAATAAATTTTTTCCTATGGTAGCATGAATTAGCATGCAATTCTGCGCTTGCATATGTCTGCATGTAAGTAAGTATCGTGTTCCTGCTTTGAATGCATTTTACTTATACTGACTTTGAAGCAGAATGATTTCGTAGATACGTACTTATTTATATACAAATTTGCATAGCATATGAATTCATAATACACCCCCGAACTCCCCCCTAACTCACATCAACTTAAAAACTAAGTGTAAGGCAAATATCCTGCGGGAAAGCACTTCATGCAACCAAACAGAAGCAGTTCGGCGACACCATGCGATGGTTGGAGTATAAGTAGCTTTCTTCGCCAGCAGCATAATCGGCTTGCGCCTACACTCTTACGACTCCCACTTTCCTGCATTGCTGTCTGTCGTCTGTCTGTTTGCCTAATTGTATGCAAGTTACTAGGTGTGTGTGTGTGTGTGTTCCGGCGCGTCTGTGTGTGGGTGTTGGTTATTTGCTTGCCTGTTAATAATAAATCATGCCGCCTTCATGACTGTCATTTGGCTGCATATTGTTGCTGTTACAGTTCTACCCCGCATGTGTTTCTTTTATTATTGTGCCGTTTATCCTACTTGTTATCCTCACACGCACACCGTAACATACAACCACGTACATACAAAGGTATGCGAAATGAGCGTGCAATATAAAAGGCAATCGTTGCCACACTAGACCACAAATGCCTTTACATAAGCCATGAATAGCTTAGTGGAGTTGAGTGCAAAGTTGAGCGCATGGAGTTTTGACTCTTGACTAACTGTTTGTCTGTCTTACTTCAGACTCCTCTTTTGCATTATAAATGTGTGAAAATATTTTTCAAAATAGCAGAAGGCAATGAAGGGAGTAGTGGAACAAGCGAGCGAGCGGCAGAGAGACATGGCAGTTGCATTAGTTGGTTTGAATGGCGGTTGAATAGCTGAATGAAAGATTGCAGCTGTTGATGTTTGCTGATATGTTAAGCTATAAAAATATATGTATATATTTACAGTTATATGTTTTAACAGCTACAAATACGCATACACGTGCGCAAATTCTAGCAAAAAGTGTGACTTATCCAGAATGACTCCGGGACCAATCGCAAAGGAACCTGCGACCAATACTAGTTTTGATATATTTTTATGAAATGAATTGTTCGCTTTTGTTCGAGCATGTTCTAAGAGGACATTAATTTTTCCCCTTTA